TCTTGCTAAATTTGAGGACTTTTCCCCTAATGCTCCCAGCCGATTAAAACTTTCACTAATCCTTTCAACAGATTGGGACAATTTTCCAGCTGACTTGTGTTTAATCATGTTTTTTTTATTCTCCAGCAACTGTTCCCATAAACTGTAAAATTTAGCATGGACGTTTTTCGTGCCCTCAGTATGAATATTTATAACTTTGTTTTCATCAGCTTCGTTAAATCACCAAATACATAAATGTCAGTGACATTTAAAACTCTCTCTCACTCTTACCCTGTCACTATTTTGGTTTCCCAGCCATGTGTATTCTGTGTAGTTGTAGTCTGTTTCATGAACATGCCTAGCTCTGAGCTAAAATACTGGTATAATCTGGGCAAAAACTTCTAGACTTACAGTGAAAGGCTGACTGTGTGTGTGCATGTGTGTCTTCTTTTTCTACTTGTTTCTCAGCCCCACCACCGTACTCTCCACCTCAGTATCCTGGTCACTGATGGGCTCCTCTTCACGCACACAGCGGGACACTACTGCAGCTGAGCAAAGGGACTGTTTCAAAAGAAGGCAGCAGCACTTTCTCCCACACACAGACACACACACACACACACACATGCACACACACGCAGATGCAGTTAAGCACACAGTCACACGCTAAAATAACCGCTACGGCTCGATTAGCAGTGGGTTGCCTGTGAAAGAAAACAGGAGGCACTTTAAGTTCTGTTTTAGTTGTTCATTTGCAGCGTCGTCCTACTTTTCCACAGTATTAATGTAAATCAAAGTCTGTCCTGCAACCTGACGCCTGACTCCTGGGCAGGCGTCACATGATCCTGAAAGCGAGGCGACTTCTGCGTCTTGGCGCTGTTTCACCAGCCTCGTGATCTGAAACACTCACCTCAGTGACAGGGTGTCGCCAAAAGAGAGTGCTTGTTACCTTCTAGAAAAGAATGCTGTCCCTCTTTATTTGGTAAAAGAAAAAAAAAAGTTTTACCTCCTCCCCCTTGTTAAGTTTGAATAAATTGATAACTGCCTGTGGTTCCGTTCCAGGTAATCTCTGCCACTGATCCACTTTCTCCGGTTATCATAGCATCACGTGCTTCTTCTTTGTCTTTGATGTTTCTAACTAAGCAAAAAAAATAAACTGGAAAAAAGGGATCCACGTTTGATTGCAAAAGTGATGTTTGGATCTAAGGCAGGTGGCTTTATAGATCTAAACGGTTCTCCCAGTTCTTTGTAAGAAGCCCTTTGTCAACTGTTGGTTTGAACTTTGTCTCGTCTTTCTAATATCTGACACAAGTAATTACTTTGAAGTAGTTTATTAGTGGCACCCTTTTTTACGATCTCAACATCAGCATGCTTCCTGGTCAAAGATACCTGTCCGCTTCTGATTTTAAAATAAATTAGAAATTAGTCTTGATTAATTCCATAGTGACGGGTAGGGTGTTTCACAGTGAAATCCGTGTTAACGTCTATTCCTTCTAACATATCAGGACAGGGGAGTTGCAGGTCACGCTGCTTGATTAAAATAAAATATCCCGCCTTACAGTAACTAACCATGGGAAAAAAGAGATTAACTATTTAAATGAATATTTTGTAAATCTGTTCTTCAACTAAATATTTTATGATATTGTAACGAGTTATTTTAAAACAGTGTATTTTTATTGTACCATGAGATATGACGTTTGGCATCTTTCCATTTACTATTTATTACTATTTAAGTTACCTTTAACTGTGAATGGGTTCTCACCTTCTGGACTAAGCTACGAAGCCAAAAACGACTACTGCTGAAAGATCCCCTCTCTTTAAAGGACTCGTTTGACATTTTGGAGAAGGTGTTTGCTTTCTTGTTGACGGGTGCACATTTTGTTTTTGTTTTTTTTGTTGTTGTTTTTTTGTTGCTTTCCCGCCCCTTTATTGGCACATTTGATATATTGGCAAAATGTAGTTATTGTCTGTAATCCTCTGCTTAAAAACAAAACAAAATTCTGCATTGAATCAGCAAAAATGATGAAGTTGGCAGTAACATTTTCTGTAGTTGTATTAATTTTGTGCTGCATAAATACATGCAAAAATAATTAAACCTAAAAGACTTTTTAATAAAGACTTTTTGGCTTCCTTAACACAGGTGTTGCAGCTCATAATGGTGTTGCTCATCGTAACTGCTTCCTGGGTACGTCAGTTTATTTGAATAAACTTGTACACTGATTATGTTTTAAAAATGTGAAACAGTTGCCATCAAGCCGCAACAAAAAAAAAAAAAGTAGTAAAAAGTACATTTATCTTGAAATTTCGAGGCCTTGTAGTTGCAGTAAACGGTTGAGCTGTTGGGAAATGCACTCATGTGGTACCCACCACACTCTGCTATCAGGTCAGTCCCTTTCTGCACATGTGTGGTTAATTATAGGAGAAGCAAGTGGCTGATAGCCTACCTCAGCATCAGACTAGAAGCAGGGTAAAGGTCTTGGTTTAAAAAAGAAACTTCCTACCGAAACTTTAAAAAAAAATCTGAATGCTAGCACCGGGTGTTGCACAGAATAAACATGTTAATAAGTGTCAGGCACTGTTTCCAGGCCTTGAGATTCGATTCTGGGGGAGGTGAAGTCTGTTTTCCTCTGTCAGCGTGAATTTCTCCTGATCATAACCTCAACATGTTCCCATCCGTAACCCCAGCCAGTCGTCCTCTAGCCGTCCACCTGCCCGGCTCCTGGCTCTAACAGCCTTCTCATCTGGCTTTAAGTCGGCAAGAAAGCAGACGGTGGATTTCCCAAAATGTCAAACTGTCCTTTTCAATTTGTCCTTGCAGGTTTGGGCTCCAGTGAGGTCAGGGCCCGTAACCTGTAATCTCCTTTAGCTTCGAGGGCATCCCTGATCCTTCTTTAAAAGGTTCGAATTGAAAAACACGATGCCTCCTAATAGGTGAACCCTGGATTGTCTTTTCAGGTGTAGTGTATTAAGCAGCTCAAACATAATGTTAATGCCTGAGAGCTAATATTACTGTCACAGCTAGTCTGCAGCATAAATTACTCACTCCGATGCCGACGTCCAAGTGTACAGATTTGTCGAGCCTTTGTAAAGCACAAGGAAGACGCTGGGATTTTCTTTGTAAAGATGCTTTCATAAGTAGTTTGATATAACATCAGTGATGTTTCTGTTCATTTGTGCTTCTAAACCAACCAACTCCATGAGTGTGTTTTAATGACTTACATCAGGTTCAGAGTCTAGGTATGGCTTCATGTCTGTCGTCATATGGATGGTATGACACTGTAAAATAAAGTGACTGGAAAATGTTTATTTCTTTTAACATAAAATTTAACTTTGGAATGTAACAAATTGCTGTCTGTGTTTCTTTCTGAGTTTAAAGAAAGAAGTGTGATTTTTATCTACAACACTGGCCACTAGATGTCTGCATTCACCCCCAAAACAGCTTAAATGTGGCGTTTGAAGGTGTTTTATATATTAACAGGGAACTTACACACTGGATGAGTTCATACCAGCAATACAGTGTGATTCAAAATACAATCATAATTCTAAAAAAACATTATTTAATTGTTTTTATCATAACTTTATTAAAGTAACCCCCCTTTTTTTTAAATTGTTTTTTTAAATATATGTACTTATTTTGCCTGTAAATAGTTGCATGTAAATATTGGGAGGAAAGAAATGAGAAAACAATGTAGGATCACAGGATTACTCACTGGAGGCAGAAGTTACAGCTTTTTATACATGACATAAGTTATCTTAAGTAATAATAATTTTTAAAAAGTCCCAATATTTCTACTCTTCACATGCTCTCTGGATTAAACAGTTTCATTATTGTCCATTCTGTTATTCATGGCTTTTAGTTTAAATAAATTCTTCTCCAAACAAAATTACTTTTTTTCACATAACTTTGTTTTTGAAGTTTTTAATAAAATGTAAAACAAAATAAGCTGAAGTTAAGTAGACTTGGTCAAGACGACCTGCTGAGGTTCAAATTAAGCATCAGAATGAGGAAGAGAGGGGATTTAAGTAACCTTGAATGCGGCACGGTTGTTTGTCCCAGACGGGCTGGTATGAGTAGTTCAGAAAATGCTGACCAGCTGGGATTTTCCCACACAACCATCTCTACTGTTTACAGAGAGTGGTCCAAAAAAGAGAAAATATCCAGTGAGCAGCAGTTCTCTGGGGTGAGAGGAGAGTGACCAGACTACTTCAGGGTGACAGGAAGGCGACAGTAACTCAAATTTGTAGAATATTAGAAAAATGTGCCTTGATTTCTGTTGTGACATTCAGACGGTCGATCATAATTTGGTAAAAACATCATCAACAAATGGATCCACCCTGCCCTGCATCAGCAGTTCACCCTGGTCGTGGAATAATAGTGTTAGGGGTAATTTCTTGGCACACTTTGGACCCCTTTGTACCAACTTTGTGTCTTTTAAACACCACAGCTTACCCGAATATTGTTGCTGACCACAGCTATCCCTTTATGATAACAGTGTACTTGTCTTCTGATGGCCACTTCCAGCAGGATAATGCGCCATGTGAAAAGTCTCTCATCTCAAACTGGTGTCTTGATCTTGACAGTGAGTCCATTATACTCAAATGGCCTCCACAGTCACTAGATCTCAGTCCAATAGAGCACTCTCGGGATGTGGTGTAACAGAAGATTCATATCATGGATGTGCAACCAAGAGATCTGCAGCAGCTGTGTGATCCCTTCACGTCAATATGGACCAAAATCTTAGAGGCACGTTTCAAGCACCTTCTTGAATCAAAGCAGTTGTGCAGACAAAAGGAGGTCTGACCCCAGAATGAGCAAGGTGTGCCTAATGAAGTGTCTGTCGAGTGCACAATACCATAAAGTGTCTTTAAAAAGTAAAAAAGCTCAAATTAAGTATAGTAAATATACAGTGAAACACTAATGCAGTGTCACATCTTTGTATTAAATAATTAAATATATGTTTAATATATTATGGGAATATTTAGTATCATATATACAGTATGCATATTTTAAACATATATTCATTATATTTGTATTTATTTTTATTCCATACAATATTTTATTAACTATACACTGGCCTTTGTATTACAGCAAAACGTTATTGACTGTGTGACTACAATAGAGCAGCGATCCCCACTGGTTTAAAAGCGAGCTCTTATAAAACTTTTTTATTTGCGAGCGACTGTATAAACATCACTGAACTGGGCTCCAATATAAATACAGATTGTGTAATAGGAAGTCTGTGTAAGCCTGCTCTGGCATCTCTGTAAACTTCAGCCCTTCCCATTACCTTTAAAGGAGTGTGTACCCTGAACTAAATATGGACATGCACTTTCACAGGATTTCGAAGAATGTCCCAGCCTCACAGTCCACTTTGATGATGCGAACCTCTCGCAGTTCGTCACTTGTAACCCTCGCTGCAAGACTCTGAGACCAGCCTCTTTGCACCAGGATTGATGCCTCTGGTGGCTTTTTGGTGAGTGGGACACGACACAACAGCAGGACATCAGCACATAGGAATAGTCAGCTTATAATTTGAATTTAAATCGAGGGATTTGCTTGAGCTAGATGTCCAGACGAAAGATGAAAGGCCTGACCTGTATAGGTCGCCAGGTCAGCGAGGACCCAGACCTGGACAACCTGCTGTCCACCCTCTCCCCCGAGGAAATAGAGGAGCTGAAGATGGACATGATGAAGGTGCCAGACATTAACCCCGAGGAGGGGCTCATCATTGCAGGGGAGAACCAACCTGCGCAGCCACCTATGAGCAACAATGTCTGGGATGCAACGACGAAACAGAGAGACACCAAAGGGAGGCTCAGCCAGAGGGAACCATCATTTGAGGTTTGTGAGGAAATATGCTTTGGCTTTGACTCATGAGTGTTTTATGATGAAGTATGATCCTCATCTCTCTTCATATGTTTATATTCGACTTCCCTTTGCCAGTTTTGAGCGATCGTGGCTCAAGAGTTGGCAGTTCGTCTTGTAACCGGAAGGTTGCCGGTTCGAGCCCTGGCTCAGACAGTCTCGGTCGTTGTGTCCTTAGGCAAGACGCTTTACCTACTGGTGATGGCCAGAGGGGCCGATGGCGCAATATGGCAGCCTCGCTTCTGTCAGTCTGCCCCAGGGCAGCTGTGGCTACAACTGTAGCTGCCTCCACCAGTGTGTGAATGCGAGAGTGAATGAATAGTGGAATTGTAAAGTGCTTTGAGGGCCCCGAAAAGCACTATTAAAAATGCAATCCATTATTATTATAACCAGATTTAAAAGGAGCTATGAAATCAAACTGACTGATAGGCTACAGCATTGCATAATACCCACAGCCCCCTGGATAGCTTTCATGTCTATTTTTCATTTCACTTGAAGCAACTGGACCTCATGCACCCCGAGTCCCATCAGCTTAAAAATAGTAGTCCCCAGAGTTGACTCCTGTGCCAGGAAAAGCAGTGAGTCCCCGTCTATGACCCGCCTACATCCACTCCTTACCCTTAATTGTCATCTGCCAAACAAGCAAACCACAAACATCTTCTCCAAGAGGCATTTGTGTAATTTATTGGAGATGCTACACAAATTTATTGCCATTAGTATTAGCATGATTTCAATCAGTTTGTGTGCTTAGAAGAGAGACACTTAAGTGGTTGGAGCAGCGGCTCTGCGGAGCTTCTTAATCCCGGCCTGGTGGAATTCCTTGGTTGATTGCTCCTACGCTCACTGCCTTTTAAGGATGCATCTGCCAGGGCCACGGCCTCACGAAGCAAAACAGATGGAGGCTCACAAATCAAACACTTAGCGACCTCCACTGCAAATGTATCCCTGTGCTAAAAAAAATGGATAGTGTCCTTTTGCTGACTGTAAACACACATGCCCTATTGTGAGACGCTGTTGTACAATAAAAGACAGCACATCTGCACGATCAGATGTCTTATCATACTTTACATGTCATGCAATATTTGCTGTAATTCTGTGATACTACTTTTTCTGTGCTCTGTAGCTAATAAATTGAGACTCTGCTGTGATTTATTGTGCTTAGAGCGCTGCATCATTTGACATGCTGCTTTTCACAGACGTTAAATGACCCATGTAATTTTTTGTTTTGTCATACTGATGAGGAAAAATTTCCTTATCACACTCCTCATCTTCTTGCAGGGAGAGCCGAAGAAAGAGAGCCGGAAGCAGGAGTACCTGAGGAAGATGGGTCTCAGCCAGGAGGGAAATGACGATATGAAAGTGGGAATGCAAAGACAAGCTAGTGTCTCAAATGAAAGAGATATCAAGGCGGAGGACAGAAACAGCAAAGGTCCTGAAAGTTCAAAAGAAGACGGGAGCTGGTGTTCAAGTCGAAACAGGAAGCTGGATAGCAGAGAGAGCGACACGAAAGAGGAGGCCCGTGACAAAGAGAAATATGAGGACAACAGGCTGAGAGACAGAAGAGAAAACAGAGTGAGCACAGGCAGCAAAACACAAGACATGATCTCAAAGTTACAGGAGAAAAGGGATGAGAGCAAAGAGAAAGAAAGAAGGGAAGACTGCAGGAGACGAGATGACAGCAAAACCAAAGACATTATCTCAAAGCTACGAGAAAAAAGCGAGAAAGATGTGGGCAAGGAAAAGGAAAGAAAAACGGAGAGTATCAAGACACAGGGGCTTGTCTCTAAAATGGTGAAGCAGAGCAAGGCATCGGAGAGCCAGCTTCAAGAGTGTAAACCAGAAGAGAAGAAGGCTAAAGCAGAGGAGAAGAAATCTGAATACAAAAACAAACCTGATGTCAAACTCGAACGACAACCTTCTGAGAAAGACGAGGTGAAACGTGACAAGATGGAGAAAAGAACAGACAGAGAAGAGTTGGTTAACCACAGTGACCATGTGAAAGAGAAGTTTAATGCTGAGCGGAAACCAGAGGAGAAGTTGCAAAGAGAGGACGGTAAGGTCAAGAAAGCTGAGGATAGTGGGAAACTTGCTAACTGTGCTTCTAAAAACAGCCCTAACAGCAAGGCGAAGGAGGCAGAGGAGGAAGACGAAGACTCGAGCATGTTTGATGAGCTCATGCAGCAGGTGCGAAGCAACAACCCCTCCCTCACTGAGCTCAACGTCAACAACTCAGAGGTCATCAAGACGAAAACGCTCATCGAGTTTGCAGAAGCTTTGCACAACAACACCCACGTCAAGACGTTCGCTCTCGCTAACTGCCGTGCGGACGACCATGTCGCTTATGCCATTGCCGGCACGATCCGCAGCAACAAGACTATCACCAGCATTAACCTCGACTCCAACCATCTCACCGGGAAGGGCATCCTGTCTCTCATCCAGGCGTTGCAGCACAACTCCACGCTGACCGAGCTGCGCTTTCAGAACCAGCGGCACATCTGCGGAGGGAAAACCGAGATGGAGATGGTCAAGATCCTGAAAGACAACACCACCTTGCTCAAGCTGGGCTACCACTTTGAGTTAGCAGGACCAAGAATGACCACGACAAACATACTGAGTCGCAACATGGACAGGCAGAGGCAGAAGCGCCTGCAGGAGCAGAAGCAGGCCCAGGCCAATGGAGAGAAGAAGGGAACACTTGAGGTGCCCAAGAGCGGAGGTGGAGGATCTCTGAGGAGTTCTCCCAAAGCTTCGCCTAAACCTTCACCCATCCCTTCACCTGTGCCTTCGCCAAAGCTCACTCCAAGAAAAGGAGCTGGAGGTCCGGCTCCACCTCCGCCTCCTCCTGGGGGTGGACCACCACCTCCTCCACCTCCTATGCTGGATGCAAACCGCCCAGGTGGTACGAAGAACTCAAGGGACCAACTGCTTGCCTCTATCAGAGGAACCAATAAGAAACAGCTGAAGAAGGTACATCAGAAGGGTTGACGAAGAGGTTAGCTCACCGATGCTGTGTTTGGATTCACTAACGTTTTATTTTTCTCACAGGTGCCGGTGCCAAAGTGGCTGCAGTGATATTTCCTGCTGGAATATAAAGTGAAGAAGAAGAAGAGCAAGGGAGGGAGAACAGACATCTCACCAGAGGGTTTCTAGGGGATAACCTTTATAAATTCCCCTGGCCGGTTAAAGTGCAGTGGGGCAGATGAAGACAGTGAAACATGAGACGTTTGGAAGAACAGCCATCACTATGAGTTCTCCCAACAACACTGGACCAAAAAGACTCTGTGGAGAATGAGTGATGAAGGCCTCTCTGCAGAGAGTGCCATGGGTTTGAGGCTGTTTGTCTTCCATTCATACTGACGCTTGGCTGGTTATTTGCACTAGATAATATGAGGCCGATCATATAACATGTTGGCTTGTATATGCATCTGAATGTGAGTGTGTGGGAGAGTGTGTGATGAGCTTAACAAGAGATTCAAACAACTCTATAAAACTCTAATATTCAACAGTATGTAATTGAGATTAATTTGAAAAGTTATTTATTTGTGGAGAGGGAATCCACCCTATCAGCTGTAAATCTGTAAATCAAACTGGGAATATCAGGGAATTAACAAACATGGCGGCCTGACTTAAGAAAATCTGCTTGGGTGGAGAAAACAAAAAGGTCAAGGTGGTCTTTGATTGTGTGTCTCAAATCTCAAGACATCTCAGGCAGGTTTCGAAAGCAGCCCATTGTCCCAGGAGTCCTGAGACATAACGAATGAGTCTCAGCATGGAAATAATTACATCGTGCATTTTATCAGGAAGTGCAGGGAGATAAGTTTCAGCATCTGATGTTGCGTTTTGTGCAGAATCATTCTAGCCTGGGTTTTACATCAAAATGTCAGAAACGCCATTAAATCAACACTACTGTTGGTTAATGTGCTATTTAAAAGTGAATATCAGTTCTAAAGGAAATTTAATGTGATTAGCAAAAACCTGAGTGTTGTAATGAAGCACATACATTATTACATGTTTTTCTTACAGAGCCTGTATGTTTTCAATAAAAGATTCTGCTATGTTTGCAAGTTTAATGTTACCCGTCTGATAGAAGTGATTGGAATCTGTTATTATATTATAATTTTTAGCTACAATAAATGAAATTATGTATATGATAATCTTGTTAATTCTCTATATATGTGCATATGATTATATTTGTACAAGTAAAGATGTGCTCAGACGTTTACATCACTGATCATGGGCATGTTTCAGGCTTTTAATGATTTATTTTAACTGTTCTTTATCCATGATGCAATGACTGTACAGCACACAGCTTTAATTACTTTGAAAAACAAGAACTTGAAAGGCTCACCTCTAATCTTTCAAATATAACTCTTGTCAGTGTAGCACAATTGGTCAATCTTGGCCTTGTCTGACCATAAAACATTTCTCCAGAAGGCATTTGGTTTGTCCATGGGGTCAGCAGGGAATTTTAGTTGTGTTTTAAGGTGTTGATTTTGGAGCAGGGACCCTCTCAGACAATTGTGATGGCATGCTTAGAAATGGTTCCATGAAATGTTCCCAACTTGTATAAATCTACAATTCTCCTCAACTTCATTGAGTTCTTTGGACTTTGCCATTATTCCTAGTATTGGGGAATTCAGTGGTTGCTGTCTAACAAATGCTTTTTATGGAGACAAAGAGGATCTACCAATTGTGATCTCTCATGATCATTAACAAAAAGCAAATAGGCCTCGGCCTTGTCGAATTAAAAGACACTTTAAAACCTTCAGCAGCGCTTATTAAAAGGTTCGAGTCTGTGTCTGTTTTCAGCCTGTGTGTATAATTTTGACCCTGTGTGGATAGGAAAAAATCCAAAAGATATGCAAACCCAATTCTTGCATTTTAAAGTAAATAAATATGTATGCTGTACAATCCTTCCACCCTGGAAAAGAAGCAGCTCGAAGAAATCCTTATGAGCCCCAAATGATCATCACATTCATGCCTATGATGAGTGTATGGAAGCTTCTGACCACAGCTGTATATACATTCAAAAATGCAATGGCTTGTACTCGCAGCAGGATTTTACGACATCACTATGACTTTTGTGGCTAGTTGGGGTCCCATGACTTACTTAGACTAAGGTGGAAACTTGCGGTGTCCGTATGCCAAAAAATACCTTTCCAGGAAAGCAGGAGGCCTCTCGTGTCTCGTACTTTAACTACTGAAATAAACATGGATTCACATTTTTTAAATTTATGTATCTGCATTTCTTGATGGATTAATTTTAAAAACCGCACGGCAGAACCTTTACCAGACACAAAACATTATATCAACTAGTGAATGTTTTCGTAGCATGTATCTGTGCTTCTGCAGTGGACCATGAAGAACTTTTCTTCTATCTGTTGCTCTTTACATAATGTGTTTAAAGCTACGTGGAAACATTGGGAGCTGTCTAGTGTCCACCCACCAGCTGGAAAGGTAGCCATCATCCAGAGAAAAAAGAGAGCAGCAGCAGCAGGCCAGTTTATCTCTCTGCAGCCTTGCCTCAGTCTCTGCATCCACAAAATGCCTATATTTGGTCATTTCTCAATGAGGGCTTGCTCTGTAAGTCATTCCTTTCTTGTTCCTAATAATGGGCAGTGAGCCAGCCTTCTGTCTTTTAGCTGTAGCTGCTACTCTGACCAATAGTCTCAGAAGGAAGAAAAAGAGGGGAAGGAATGAAATGTTGAGATTACTGGTTTTCAGTGCCATCAGAAGGCCTCTAAGTACATTGCATTGCTATTACTAAGAAAACACTAGGAGCACAGCAGAGTGTGATTATTTTGCTATGAAGATTTCTATTTGTGTTGCAGAAATGTGAAGAAAAAAGTTTATTAAGGGGTGTTCTTTTGTTTTTCTACCTGCTTTTTAACCTTTGTCACTGTAAATAAGACTTTATGTGATCAGTGTGACATTGCTTCTGTTGATAGAAATGTCAAAACTCTCTTATACCTGTCTGGCTGTCCTTTAATTTGCTTCATGTTATGTGAATTAGCAAACACTGAAGTATAATACAAGTCTATAGTGCTTGAACAGTTCTACTTTTTTACTTTACACTATTCATTACAAGATCTTTTTCTTTTGTTGTATTTCTGTGGATAGGTTTAAGAAATAGGCTGTAATAAACTCTCAGGACAGCAGCCTGAAGCTCATCCTTCGTCCCTGCATGCTCTGTTCCTTTAAGAAATGACGTTGTCTCTATAGTGTCGTTACGTCAGGTGTTCGATAATCGTTACGTCAGGCGGAACAGCAAAGAACAAAATGGAGGAGTATGCCAGAGAGCCGTGGTGAGTCCTAAAATTAAAATTAATCCGTTTCCCGCACCGTTTCAGCGTGTACTGCAGTGGGCTGCGTTTTGAATACATGCCATGTTAGTTGTGTTTAATGTTTTTATTTTATATCACGTGACACGACCGAAACACCTCGAAACCGGCCGGCTAGCTGCCGTTAGCAGAAATGCTAACTTCGCATACACAAGTGAAGGTAGTTTGAGCGAGCACTGCGTCGGGACGGCTAAGTCACGTTGTGACCTTGTCGGTTTTATTGCCACATGTCATTGCTTTAAATTTACTGACCCCACAAACCGGTGCTTAAAAAAGGCATATAACATCTATTGTAACCGCATACTGGTAGCCATTCGGGAAAAGTTGGAGTAGTTATTTTAGTATTATTTTGCTTTGGCGCACAAGTAAGCTAGCTGGATTAGCTACTTGTGCGCTATCTAGACTGCAGCCTGATGGCTTCAGCTAGCTTGAGACATGTCCTGTTCAAATAGTTTATGAACTTTTAACAGCGTCACTGAGGATTTAAAATAAATGTTTTTACAAATACATACATTTTTTCTCGGTGGCTGTCCTCGTGTATGCTTATTTTGGTTTAGGTGTAATTTATAAGAACCGTGAACTAAATAAACTTCTTAAAAGTTCAAAAAGGTTGGCCTGGTTCGCTGTTTTTCTCCCACTTATGTTTTTAAGTATTTTGGCCAGCTTTTAATAACAATTTAAGATCGCATACTAATGGTCAGAAACACGAGACACAAGGTTACTGTCCTTCAATATCACTGCAAAATGTTCGTTTCGTGATTTAAGATGTAGTGCATCTGTTTACGTAAACGAATGGCTATGAGTAAATAGAAGATCCAGTTTTACATACATTATTTAAAACGGTTACATTTTCCTGATTTTGACCAGAAGTCATATTACATTGTATGCAACCATGTAAACCCTTTCTAATAAAGTCGTATGTGAGAAGTAAACGTGCAGTCTGTTTGTTTAAATTTGAGATGCGGTCATGTGAAGTATAATCCTTACTGCTCAAACAAACAAAATGTTGTAATGCTGTAATACTTCATGTTTTACGCTGGTTCAGAGGTGGTTATTAACATAGGACACACAGAGAGGGACCCTGTGAGTTTGTGTGCGTTCACGCATACATGTGTTTTTCTTCGTCTGCCTCCATTTCACCCTATCCCTAGCATCGTTTTCTGTCACACCAACCCTCTGCATGTCCTCCTCCACTACATTGCCCCTCTCTGAGGGCTTCTGCTTCTGCTCATGTCTGGCAGGTCCATATTCAGCATCTTTTTTTTTTTTGTCAAATATATACACACTAACCGTCCACAGCACACGTTCAGACCATCTCAGCCTTGCCTCTCAAACTTAGTTTCTGTTTAAACTGAGCTTTTGCTATGATATCCATTTCTAATCCCGTCCATTCTCTCTTAGTTCACTGCCAGTGGAAATCTTAACATCTTCAGCTCAGCCTCCTGTCTTTTTGTTAGTGCCATTGTCTGCTCATCATACATCTCAGCAGGTCTCACTACTATTCTTTTGTAAACCTTCCCTTTCACTCTTGCTTCTGTCATAAATCAGCGCTGACACTAGTCTCCATCAACACCACCCTGCCGAATCTCTTCTTCACTTCTCTTGTGCACTGTCGGTTGCTTTTGGATGTATTTAAACTCCTCTGACTACTCTTCACAGCTTCACTGTTACACCGGTCTCCTTCTCAAAGGCCAAGTCTGTGTGTGTGTATAGTTAGATTTTAGAGTTTTCAGATGACCTATATCTTATTGTCATATTACCAGTAATAAACTAGTTCTTCTTCCTTTACCTTTGGATTAATTTAGACTTACAGGGAACATTAAGAGATTGTTATGAACATGCAATGAGAGATCTCAAATGTCATGACATTATTAACTTAAACAAACTAAAATGTCTGTGTTCTGCTTTTAGCCCCTGGAGGATTGTGGATGACTGTGGGGGAGCTTTCACCATGGGAGCTATTGGAGGAGGAATATTTCAGGCAGTGAAAGGCTTCAGAAATGCACCCTCGGTAAGTTCAAGGACTGTTTTCTGGCCTCAGTCAAAGCTGACATTCAAGGTACTGTCCTTGAGGTCAGTGTCACACTCAAAGACACTTGATGATAAAGCAGTGTTTCTGTTCCTGTAAACAGGAAATTTTCTTTTTAATCCAACCTGAATTTCAAAGACCCACAATTTTTTCAACTTATGTTATTAGTCATAATTTGAAAAATCTGAATCTTTGGTCTCAGAAATCCTGACCTGACAGTGAATTTCCACTGATGCATGTTTTTTGTCTCTCTTTTTTGTAGGGGATGAGCCACAGAATGAGGGGTAGCTTAACTGCTATCAAGACCAGAGCCCCACAGCTCGGGGGTAAGAACAATTGCTGAACTGTTTCAAAGGTCATTTCTCTTCCTTTGTAAAGAACATGGGCTGTAGTCAGCAGCATGTTGTACATCGTCTGCAGTTCCGATGGTGACAAGTTAATCTTAGGAAATATTTCAGCTTCGTATATTAAAGTAATTATCGTTTAATTAAATAAGCTGCTATTGGAGCCTGAAGGCAAAATCTGTGTGCAGAATTATTAATACTTTATTTGCTGTTGAAGTGTGTTAGTGGTAGAAGTCACTTATGTAAATATGTGACGCGGGTGATTGCTTGACAAAGTGACAAGCGTATCTTCAATGATAACTTCTTCAGCTGATGCAAATCTTTGGCGTGTTGCAGGTAGCTTCGCAGTATGGGGAGGCCTCTTCTCCATGATTGACTGTGGTTTAGTAAAAGTGCGAGGGAAGGAGGATCCATGGAACTCAATAACAAGTGGGGCCATGACAGGAGCTATTCTTGCTGCAAGAAGTGAGTAGTCAACAGAAAACTTGCATACCTCATACAAACAGCAAATGTGCTTTCACATGCATGTCCACATTCATTACAACCCCTCCTGAGTGTGAGATTTTCAGGCTTTTTTCTTCAGTGGCTTCTTGTGGGAGTTTCTTAAAAAAGAAACAAAACCTGCAACAGCTGGTCCAGTAAACCCAGTTTTCAGACTTTCCTGCAATCAGTATGAGGAAATGGAGTTGTTGATTCTTGTAACTGGTCTGCATGTTTTCATTTTTGTCTACTTCTATTTATAGATTAGTTTTTGCATCACTTTCTGGTCATTTTGCTTACTTTACTGGAGCAGAAAAACTTGAAGCTTATTTGTACAGGGACTGTGGGGTCCTCATATAATTCTGAACAACTTTAACAAAAGATTGAATAGACAGAAGTGGTTTACACATTTGCCCGACAAGCAAAAGATTCCCAGTGGAGTTGCGTCAGGAATGGTGAGCAGCCGAAAGTAGCATGAAAACACTTGTGCTATATACCTTTTTATTGAAATGGATTATAATAAGTTGTATCCAAAAATAGTGGATTAAAACTGATACAAAAATTGATGGTGGGAACATTTTCTAACAAACAGTACCATCTCAGTCTTGTTGAATATACCTTTTAAGTGCAGAAATGAATGTTTTATGTGATTTTAGTCAATTAATGCCCTTGGTTTGTCCATAGATGGACCGGTAGCCATGTTTGGCTCTGCCGCCATGGGGGGTATCCTGCTGGCATTGATAGAGGGCGCTGGAATCCTGCTTACTAGGTTTGCCTCTTCACAGCTTCCAACTGGTGAGTAATACTTTGGTGATTTTTTTTTATAAATTCAGTGAAAGAGACTGAAGAGTGTTTTATGTAACGAGCACCCATTGTGATAAATTACTGTACATAAAAGTCTACCTAACCACCAGAAGCCATCAGGCGTGAAAGAATACTTAGATGAAAGATGACATGACTGCAGCAAAGAAAAAAACACTGAATGTACTGCGACTTCACCTCTTGTTGCCCAGCACCTGATATGTTTATCTTTGTTGACTGTACTTTAGGAGTGTTAGTCAACCCCCAGCTTGCTCACATGCTTTGCCGAAAACAGTATTCAGTCACCACACAGTAGCATGGATTATAAACATCAGGTCTAATATGTGTGATAAATCTCATCTGATTCTTCTGCAAATTTTCTAAATTTTACTGCTTGTGTTTGAATTGTGGGACAAAAATTATTAAATTATAAAATTTATTCTGAAACAGTGTTTATCAGTGATGATACTACAGTTATGGCAAAATGCGAATATTTGAAGATTGAGTCAGCTTTCTGAAGAAACTGACTATTTTAATTTGTGACTGTTTTTAAATAATTGGAAAAAAAACACTCAGTCGTCATATGTCAGTGAGGACCTTTGGGAAGTCTTTTTGATTCATCAGTTTGCTCTTTTAGACTTTTGGCACCGATCTCACTCTGAGTTTTATTTTTTCCTCCTTAGGACCTCAGTTTGCAGAGGAACCTGCCCCTGCTCCCATGCCCACCTCTCCCTTTGGAGACTACAGACAATATCAGTGAGAGGAAGTCCTCACCTCTTTATCCTCTAGGCCTTTTGTGAATTCCTTGCTGAAGTTAAAAAGAAGAAATGGCGGTGCAGAGTACCACACATCAAACAGTAGAAAGTGCACCCAACTTTATGGACTGTCGGAGAAGTGAACGACAAAACACGTCACCATTTTCCTTCTTTCAGGAGCCATGTACACATCTGCCTTTTGCCATTGTCAGGCTTGTCGTGTGCATCTGTTTCACCTAGCTGTGGTAAAATACAGACAGCTGAGAGTTGTTGTGAGGATGAGATGTGCTTTTCTATTTTGTTTACATACAGTATAGACTGCA